AGAACAAAGACGTAATATTACGAGAATAAAGTCGTAACATTACGAGAATAAAGTCATAATATTGCGAGAATAAAGTCATAGTATTGCAAGAGTAAAAAGTAATGAATAATAAATAATTTCTACTACAACTAGGCTAATTATGATTTCATAAGCACTTATTTTAAATTATAAAAAATATGTTTTTGTTACAGACTAACTCCACGTTTTGTATCCTATATAAGCACTTTCTTCCTACATGGAGAGTGAAGGTTACTCACAAGAATAATGAGTAAGTTTGGAAAATTGGAAATGAATTAAAGAGTTTAAAGTTAAGTCTCATTTTGTATATTTTTCACCACTTCATTATGTTCTATGTAGATGTTTTGGTCAAATAAACATCCGTCCTTTTACTGTGTACAAAAATGTTCCCACGTAAATACATCTTTATTGGCATAGTCTTTGTTTTAGAATCTGGATACTGTGTTGTGCAATGCAACAAGAAATAAATGACACTCTTCATGGGGTTATTTGTTTATTTTGGCATACAGTATGTAGGCCATTCGCTCAAACCAAAACTACATTTCAGAACACAAGATATAACCAAAATATACCTTGTCTGAAGTCTGTGTAATTATTGTCTGAATGTGACATAGCCTAAATCCCCAGTGAGACCCAGTTTGTGAAAACGTCTCATACAGAGGACAGAAATTTGGGTTTTGTTCTGTACTGTTGGCTTGTGTTCATTTGTTTTCCTCTAGAAAAAGAAGTAGGCCATGGCGTGCTTGCCTTCATTTGCCTAATGAGCTGCAAGTGAGAGGTGGAAAAGTTTTTGTTCCAGTTCCAGCTCTTCTCTATCCAGTACGCCTTCAAAATAACACCGGTTGCGATGAAAAGGACTTTCACAGCCATTTAAAGGCTTTTAAATGCTTGTAGCTCACTGTGGGTTGCCAAATTCTATTTTATTTAGGGCCATTTAAATTGAAATGGAAGTCATCCAACAAGCCTTAGCCTCCACAGATAACTCTGGATCATGGATTGCTTGACTGTTAATCAATGGTCATTATCTCTGGAAATTAAACCGCAATAATAAACAGGTTTTTACTACTAAACAAAAAAAAATAAGGCTGATGAAAAGTTTGAATAATAAAAAATACTCACGGTAGGTCAAAATTATGACATAGTAAGTAAAAAAATACTTTCAAACACTAGACTTCATAATTTTGAGACAGACCTAATAGGTCAGAACTCCCTACTATCTCATAATTACGACAAAACACAAATGTGTGGGGATGCTTAATAACAAGGATAAATGAAAAATGAATACAGAAACAAATTTGTTTATTTGTGAATAAAAAATAAACCATTAAGTTGTGTTTTATAATTGTATTTTAACAATAAAACAAAATTAAAGAAAAAATATAAATTTATAGTGCATACAAAATTAGGGATATTTACAAAACTTGAGACAGAGAGTCAAAATTACACATTTTGCCTTACTAGCTCATGATTTTTGACTTGATATGTCACATATTGTATTTATTTAATCATACTTTTAACTTTTTTCACACTCGTTTAAGTCATCATTTTAATTTATATATTTTTTTTTATTTTAGAATAATATATTTATGATAGAATATTTTGGACTTACGGAAAAAAAACAACTTATTTTGAAGTAATTTATGACAAAATGATATTTTTTGACATTGTACTCATTGTTCAACAAGGCTTTTATTTTGTAAGTGACGGAAGTGTTGTCCGTCCTTTCGGTCTCTGGTCGGGACGGAGGAGACCAGCAGGAGTTGGAAGGAGTTCCGCTGCTGTTGCGTTGGCAGTCTGACTGAAAAGATGCTTCCCGGAGCGCTCGCCGTGTTACTGATTTTATTCAGCCTCACTGAGAGCAAACAGAAAGATTTATACACCTTTAAAGTGGTGAACAGCAGGGGGAAGTTAGTGTCCCTGGAAAAATACCGGGGTTCGGTAAGTTTTAACGTTAGAGTTCGTATCCGTGATGTTGGAGGGTCCTTTTTCCTCCAACCAGCCTCTCTGCGGTGTCAGTGAATGCTGCATGGGCATGTTTATTTCTTACCTGTCTCGTTTAACATTATGTGTGTAGATGTAATAACATAGTACAGCTGCCTGACTGTGGATCAGTTTGAGTGTAGCCTGCTCGGGGGGGTGTCCCATCATGTTGTCCCGCTGGTCTACGTGGCAAGAGGCCTGCAGCTGCAGCAGCTCCGTAGAGTTTTATTCAGACAAGGTACGGATCACTAGACCGGATTAGTCCGCCTCCAATAGGCTGGAACAGTCCACTACCTGTAGCTACTGCAGATTTCACTCATTAAAGCAGAATATGCACGATTTGGTTTCTACCTATCATGGCTTTTCTTTATTGCAAGTTTTGCTCATATACATCATGACAGGAAAGAAAAATGTTAATTTATTTGCAGGCAGCACAATATTCATATGGCTGTAGAAGGGAACTTTATTATTTAAATCTTTAATATTAATCTTATAATCTTGTTCGAATTGTACATTTGTAAAGTCTTTTAAATCTTAAGCAGAGCCTCTAAGGATGCTCCCGTAAACACCTTTCAAACATGGTTCCTATCCGTTCTGGAGAACCTGGAATTTTAGTTTTCCAGTCATGGAAACACCTGGAAATTGATTAAAATGACCAAATATCCAGGAAATAATCTCTGTTGTGCTGGAAAAGTTGAATTGTATTTTAGCCTGTGCTGTGGCCGGATTAATGTTACAGTTAGAGAAGATGAGAACAGCCAAGCCCGCTACGAATGCAAGCTAACACAGAGTGTTACTTAAACGATGACCACCAATGGCTTGCCACAGTTTGTAGTAAGCAAGTGCTGTCCTGTGCTGTCAAGATAAACTCATAAAAAAAAGTAAAAAGAGTGGTAATATTAATAATAATATTAGAAAATATGAATCCTCCCTAATGTCTCCAGTTAGGGTCTCTTTCACAGATGCTTCCAAAGCCTCACAATTACCACATCGAGTTACTCACAGTACTAAACATCTTATATGTAGTGTACTGTTGTAAAGGATTTGGTTTCCTTTTAGGATCTCTTTAGGATGGTCAGATACATCTCACTCATGGAGTGGCTTCATCGTGACACTAGATGTCAGCACTAGATCATTAGATCATCAAACTGTCAGTCTGTCATCCTACTAAATGGAATTAATAAATCAAAGGGTGCATGTGCTTACTTTTGCAGTGATGAGCTGCTCTTCCGTCCTGTGCAGAGACTCCTCCTTACTGACTGTGAGCTGAGGCACGAAGCTGTGACATGTATTAACCTGCACTAACATCCTCAGCTGTTTCTATGCTGTCCACCTGCACAGGTCTATCCCTACACTAACACTTAGGATAAAAAAGGTAAACCAAAGCACTGATCCGATCAGACACATTAAATGTATTTTATCCCCTCAGATTGCCTATGTACACCTGGGTTAGAGGAAAACTGTAGTAAACTGTAGTCCAATCATCGGAGACGCTGCTGTGGTGAGAACAATGGTCAGCTGACCACCTACCTGTAATGAACCTGCATCACTTCATTAAAAAAGGAGGAATAAAACTGTGGGAAATTTGTCAATACCAGGCCTTCTTGTAAACTATGTGGGCAAGTGCTTTCCTGTATTGTCAGAAAAACTCCTGGAAAATGATTTCTTAGAAAGAGGATGGTTACACGTGATCCACTGAAATATCTCAACCAGTAAGCAGAAAACGTTGCTGCATTGACGTACATCAGGGTGTGTCGGCACACTGTGACATCACTGTATGGGTGTGGTTACATGCGCAACAAAGCTCACTCAACAACGGTCATACACAACAACATCACCTATTGCATTAGAAATATAACCTGTCTTCTTGAGTCATATCTAATAAACACAAGCTAAAACAACTAACAGTTGGTGTGCACAAAGCATGTTGTGTATTTCTTTTTCTCATTCAGGGATTTAAACAGCTGTTTGTTTTAAACCATGTTTTGTGATTGTCGGAGATTGTTAATGCAGGGTTTTCATGTCTGTGGCTTTAGGTATCCCTGGTGGTGAATGTAGCCAGTGAATGTGGCTTCACTGAGGAACACTACAAAGACCTGCAGCAGCTCCAGAGGGACTTTGGGCCGTATCACTTCAATGTGCTGGCCTTCCCCTGCAACCAGTTTGGGCAGCAGGAGCCCGGAAGCGACAAGGAGATCGACAGCTTTGTGCGCAGAGTCTACGGCGTCTCCTTCCCTCTGTTCAGTAAAATCGCTGTCATCGGAACCGGGGCCAACAATGTGTACAAGTACCTTGTTGGTGAGTGAGGCGGTATGTTGTTGGTGCACTTGTGTGAGCTTGTTCCTGGGTCAAATGATTCTTCATTAAACAAATTAGCTTAAAAGACGACCAAGTTTCTAATTAACACAGTGGAACACATCATTATGAGGAAAATGTTAGATATTCAGAAAGTATAAAATGACACAAATAACAGAATATGGACAATACATACAGTATATATAGTGAAATCATCCACAGAGGTATTACAGTGTTAATGACAGGGAAAGATCTTATTTGTGCTGGTCTGCTTTGTTGGGAGGGACGTCAATGCCAAAAAGTGAGACTTCCAAGGAAGTGCAAATGCGCAATAGCTGCGACCATGTGCATTCACACCCATTGTCACGCCCCCTTTTACCCAACAGACCTGTTTCACTGCAGCCAGTTTGACATGAAGTAGTAGGGTAAACACAGGTATTACCGATGACACTAATTAAGATTTCATTCCATGTAGTGTAACAGAGCCTTTCCTGTTAGCCAGCATGCACAATAGCAGACTGACTCTGTTTGACCCGAATGGGATCAAAATGGCTGCTGTGAATAAGGTAGGCTGGTAGGTACGTTGGCATTAACATAAACATCAATTTCAGGCTCCTAAAGGGAAACACACTGTAGTTTGAAAGAATGTTTTTAAATTGTGAAGGCTTCAACTTATTATACTTCTCTTATCCTCTGCAGAGTCTTCCGGGCATGAGCCTGACTGGAATTTCTGGAAGTATCTAATTGATGTAAATGGCAAAGTAGTGGATGCGTGGGGACCAAAAGTTTCTGTCAAAGAAATCCGACCCAAAATTGCTGAAATGGTGCGGCAGATAATCTTGAAGAAGAAAGAAGAGCTTTAACCTCCTGTTAAAGGAACCCTTTAGTGTTCTGCAGTATGATATTTAAATGTATTGGTACATGATCCAAAGGGATGAACTGAACACATTCATTTTGCTCGTACAATCAGACTTTGTTAGAACAAACCATTCAATTCAAGACACATAGTGAAAGCAAATTTTTACTGAACTTGCTTTCTGAAAGCACTGATGAAACACCACTATGTTTGTAATGTCAAGTTTTATATATCAGATGTATGATATCTTAGGTCTGCAGCTGTAAGCCAAAGAGCTCCTCTTTCCCTATTTGTTAGTCATGTGGATTACGTGTTTGGTTTGTTGTTCATTCTGATTTGTAGAATAAACGTTTACTGTGATGAGAATGATGCCTTGCTTTTAAGTTTATTTTACACTGTTGTATTTAATATTTATATATATGTTGAGAATTTAATTACTAATAAGTAATAAGTAATAAGTACTAATTAAAAAGTACTCATTCTGTATTGTTTTACACACATTCCCTTTCTGATCGCGGTTGGGGTAAAAGCCTTCCCAATCGGAAATAGTGTTATCTCTAATGTTTCTCGAGAATAACTTTTG